GATCACCATTTTCTTTTTCGCTATATAGCCTTTCGTCATTTTTTCCGTTCGCCATTTTTGTTTCGTCATTTTTTCCTTCGTCATTTTTTTCTCGCCACTTTTTCTTTCGCCATTTTTCTTTCGCTCTTTTCTGTTCGCTTTTCTCTCATTCGCTATTCTTTCTTTCGCTCAATTTAATGCCAATCGTTTCTTCAACTAAGCAGTCTATTTTTACTATCGTTGTGAAATTGCAAAAACTCGCACAACTCGTATTGGGTTAAGACTTGTTTTGATAATACTTGACAAACTTATGTATGGTAATAACTTCGATTTGAGAAATAAAATGTTTGTGCACTGATATATTGCTCACGGAAAGTTGCCTATACGATACAAGCAAGCATTATCATATTTAATAAAAGAAACTATCACATTCAATAACACACTAAATATGTCTTTTATATTTTCGTCAAATATGTTCGAAATTATATAATTGTTTAATTATGCTAAAATGTTTCTAAGATGAATGTTTGTACAATCATGTTGATGTAAAATAGTGTTATGGTCGTTATCTGCAATAGATCTGTTTCTTACGAGGGAACATTCCCAACTGTCACATCGCTTTTGAGTCAAGCATATAGGCATCATATAGGCCCTAGTGATCTATGAATCCTCTGAAAAAAGTTCGTGCTGCTAGTTTCTTACTGCTGAGATATTGTATTTTTACTGTATGTTTAAGAAAAAAGCCGTGGTCCTCCTCAGGAACATCAGGAAAAGTGAGTTTTGATTTTCCATCTGAAACTTTGCAAGTAGACAGGCCTAAATGAGAATTGTTTATTGTGAAGGTTTCAGATCTTTTGGTTGCTTCTAGTCTGAAATAAAAACATCGGATCTGCTGGTTTATATGAGTAATTTTACCTTAGCTGTATCTTAAGATAGGAACAATGAAAATAGCTGAAACTTTCACAATAAAGTATTCTCACTGAGGTCTATATCTATGTAAAGTTTCAAGTCGAAATTCGAAATTCAGTTTTCCCAGTGTTCATGAGGGGGACCACGGCTCTTTTTTCTTAAACATACAGTAAAAACGCAGTATCTCGGTAGTAATAAGCTAGCAGCAAGAACTTTTTTCAGAGAATTCATAGATCCTTAGGGTCTACATAATGCGCATACGTTCGGCTGAAAAGCGATGTGACACTTGAGAATGGTCCCTCGTCAGTCTTGAAGAACTCATATTTTTAAGCGCAAATAAAAAATAAATTTACATTCGTGCATAAGTAAGGAGCTTGTGAGTGATTGATGGACAAGGCAAGTCGCTTATTGACTGACAAATTGTGGCGAGTGATCAAAAGAATTGAAATTCTTCATAATATTGCTGCTCAATGGATAGATTATTTTATGAATAATAAAAAACGGTACTAAGAAACATTCGAATACCAGCTATAATGTTCTCTCATTTCAAAATAACCTTGGCAGTGTTTTTGACGCATCACCAATACAATGACAGTTTCTTTTACTGCTGAAATAATATCGACGAAAACTAAGACAGTCTTATTGATAAAATATCTGAGCGATCGTCAACTTGCGGTACTTTCAGGAGTCGTTGAATCACAAAATATTTATGAGGCACATTTTTCGAACAACATTAACAATTTTTTAGATCATTCAATTTTCTCGTGAGTTTCGATTGGATTTAAATGTAGTTTAGAAGTTTTCAGGACCCATAGGGTGTGGGTGTAGATATGGAAGTAAAACACACCTACACCTCACACACCCGCTCCCACACACCCACATCTTCATCCAACCCACACCCACATTCTTTCAAATGTATGACTCTAAAAGTCGATATTTCGGAGTGTTCGTGTGAGTCTTCTTTAAATTCACACCCTCAAGAGTCTGCAAACTCAAATCAGCAGCCGCCGAATATTTAAAAAACTTAAACATTTTTCAACGCCACCTTCGATCGACCCGTCGGTTTACACTTCTATATGTATTCACATTTGAGCTGCGTGAAGAGCTGGCCAGAAAATTGTCTGAAGGAGCAAATTTATAAGATTTAAAATACATGTAAAAGGAACAAATAAGCGACAAAAACTCAATTTTCATGAGATAATACATGCACCGGACATAATTGCTCGTCGCATGGCTTCTTCACGTTGCCCTTGTGGACTAAATCGATAAGCCAAATTTCGCATGGGCTCAAAGTAGTATCTCTGTAACCATGAACGCTTGAATGTCATGATTTTTTTCACACTTCGTGTTTGCCCACCAATAAACACTGACTGAACAGCAATGAAATGATTCCGAACTTCGCCAATTTCGTAAAATTTGTTGTCCATATCGCCACACAGGGCCTCATTTTCGAAAAAGACCTTGTTCATAAATTCGTCGGGACTCAATGCCAAACAGAGAACAAATACGAGGCGGTCTTCGGCGTCCGACAAATTGGCCCAATTTTGGTAGTTACAATAGCGCCTAATATCGTTGTCTTTGTATTCAATGGCCGCGCAGACACAATTTAAATAATTATCCTCATTCGTTTATTCTGTGTAACTATTCATATACTCACTGTTGTCTTTGTTATGTCGAATGTGTCTCATTGTTCATCTAGTTATTGAATAGTATCATACATACATTTAGCAACATCATTATTTGGTACAGAGGCGGCTGTAGTTGTGTCTCGAAAGAATGTGTATCCTCGTTGCAAGTAAGCCATATGTTCGTCTTCAAATTCGACCACTAACCTGTGTCGTTAAATAATGCCAATGCCAATGTTGATTGATTATATAGATCTCAGTTGGAAAGTTTTCAAACACCTAGCTAACATATAGTGTCCAAGAAAAACAAACTCGTCCTTTTACTTCCGACCACTGTTAAATAAAAAAATCCGATAAAACTTGTACGAGCAGAGCTTCATTATTTTTTTTCTAGGAAGAGCATTTGCGAAAAAAACGAATGGCATTTTTTCTTGACGCAAGGAATATTTTGCCAGGTGATGTGACGCAAAACAATGTAAACATTCCTTATCCTAAGGATTTTACCAACTTATTCTTCTATTTACAGAAAAAATGGAACATAGTGACTCGTATTTATGATGAACACGCAAGTACTGAGAAAAAAACCTTATAATGCAAACATGAATCGAAAAAAAATATTTTTTCCAAGTTTATGATCTTATTGGAGAGTGAAGTTCTTCTTCCGAATGTTTCTTGTTCAAGTAAAAAGATCCAATGCACAGAACGAGAAAAAGAGAAAAATTCAATTAAAAACAAACATTCTCCGATTGAATAAATAATGGCATAAGTCGATGATGGTAAAAAGAGAAAGCAGCAACACTTACATGATGAAAAACGAACAAAACTTTCAACCATCTGAATTTTAAGAGTGCATAAGTATTAATTTGAAAATCATTTCTTTCTAAAACGCATGACTTCTGGGTCTTTTCGAAACATGTTTCAAAGTCGATTGATAGTGGAACACTTCGACCGTCACTCCATGTATTTGAGTTATCAAAATACACGTATACCGTACGAGAAAAATTGTCCCAAGAAGCAAGGCGCGGGGACGGATATGGATGCAATTTAAAACAATTACCATACCCACACGCGCCACTATCGTGTATGTCCAAAAAGCACTCCTTCATATTTTTGTGTTGTGTTTTGCTCCTTGGAATACGTTAAGTATGTGAGTCATTCAAAGATCAGAGAAACGACAGTGATAAAGAAGTTATGTAAAGGGGAAGACAAAAAACTGAAAGAACATTTTTTCGTTTGTAATTTTTCCAAGATGAATCATTCGACAATTTCTAATCACGTATTCTAATGATTGGGTAAGAGCGAAAATCCAATTGGGGTGTGTGAGGTAGCTGAACAGAGAAGATCTACATCGACACAATAAACTCGATGCTTATGATTCTTACGTACAGTATGGTCAACCATCCTTTTAAATCGAGAACAATTATAAATTCATTATTGCTTCTATGACTCTGAAACATAAACGACGGTACTACAAAGTTCTCTCTTCAATAAGTGTTTTCGTCAAATTTTATTATTAATTTTAACGATATGGAAGAAGAGGAGACTTATAGAACGCCCACATCCTAAAATTTAAAATTCAAAATTTTTTTTTTCTACTTCAAGTCCTTCTTTTCGCATCATTGAATAATATCATTTAAAAGTTCAATCAAATCAAAAATTTTACATGTAAATGTTCGTAATTGAAAAGTGGTTTTAATGCATTATATGAATAATCTGATGGTGAATGTGAAGTATACGATGAAGTTCTTTATCTACGATTTGATAAAGTTTATACTAGAAAATACAAAAATCCATATATAAAGTCTCTGTTAGTCAACAGCCACTAATAATAGAAAAGACTAAAATATTTGCTGTTAAAAAATTTGAAATTACTGAAAGTGTATCTATTCTGATGGAACAAATCTCAATGAAGTGTATTCTAGCATAAAGAAAAAAAAAGACCAACAAATAATGCTGTTGTGAACTCGCAAGAGATAGATGACCAGCATTTCATGTCACTAGATTATCTTAACATCAAAGCGACTGAATAATACAAAAACTTAGTCATCATCGTCGACTCTTTACACATTCACAAGTCGCAACAGCGATGATTAAAAGCATATCGTTAATCAAAATTAAATGAAGATGTACGTACTGATTAACATACATTTTTAAACAAACACTTTCCATATTTTTTTTTCCATTAACAGAAGTAATTGTTTATTTATATTCAACAAATCTTCTTCGATGGTAAAGTTTAAACAAGCATCTTATAGAAAGTTCTTACATAGAGTGACATCTCAACTGATTAGAGCTGGCTAGTCAAATATTTTTCTTTCTTCTCTGTTTTTTGCATGACAAAGAAAAACTGAGAGTTTGTTTCCATTCTCTGCTCAGTTTATTTCAGGTTGAAGAGAATTGTCTTGTAACACACAAGCATCGTTACTCACATTAGTGTACAACACGTTTAAAGAAAACTTTCCAGCATAGAAACTTACTATTGCTTCGATGTCAAATTATGTAGCTCCATCGATTGAAACTTTACCAGTAGAAATACTTCATCGCATTTTCGATAATCTTGATGCACAAATAATCTTATACTCAATTCGACCATTATCGAAATTATTTCGATCAGTTGTTAATACTTACAATCGATATGTTTTGGAATTCAATTTAATTTCAAAATCATGTTTTTACTTTTTTTGTCGACTAATTCATCCTCAAAATATTATTTCATTAACACTTTCGAACAATGAACAAACATCAGTTCAAATAGATTTATTTATATCACTTGTTCATCTTCGTCAAATTACTCGACTTCGCTCGTTAACTCTTCTTCAAATTAGTGAAGATCAATTAAACTACATTTTGAAAAGAATTAACCTTAACTTGCTTATTACATTTTCATTCAGTATTAGAAAATACGATGATAGACGCAGAGCAACAACTATAACACCTCTCTCATCAATTATCGCACAGTCAACTCTTCGCAAATTGGAATTCAATACATTTGATAGTATGCCAAAGATTTCATGGCCAATCGATGGTATAACTGAATATTTGACTACAAATAATCGCATAAATATAGATGATCTCTGTAAAATATTTCAATGTTCTCCTCATTTGCATATGCTCATTATGAATGAAATCCCAGCAGGAGTGATTAATAATGTAACTTCAACATGTTTTCGACAGTTAACATCGTTAACTATGCAAGATCTTCGTGTAACTATTGATGAACTTGAATCATTTCTCTTATTGACATCTTCACTTGTTTATCTAAAATTGATTGGTGGGGAAGAAATGTTGGATGGTAAACGATGGGAACAATTCATTCAAATAAATTTACCTCAATTAGACAAATTTGAATTTTATTTCACTGAATGGAAGTCAACTAAGCAAACTCTGACAGATCTCGAGTTAATAATTGCTTCATTTCAAACACCCTTTTGGATCGAACACAAAAAATGGTTCGTTACCTGTGAATATGAATGTGGTGTGCTACGGTTAAATATTATTTCTCTCTATTCCATACCAATTTGCACATCTTATATGTATTACACGTCAAAATCGGAAAAAATTTCGTTGTCGACTTATCCTATGATGATGAACAATGATCTACTAACAATGGATAACATCAAGTCACTAAGTTTAACGTTGAACCAGTCAACAGCTAATGATATTAAAGAAAAAGTAAGTTATTCAAATATAAGTTTTACATTTAAATAGAAAAAGACAGTGAGACTAATATTTGTGTCTTTTTCGTTAGTCTCTCACAGACGATATTGGCAGTATTTTCAATTTATCTCCTTCCTAATAGTTGTACTTAAATTGAAAGTGCAGGATAGGAATGCCATATTGAATATAAGAAAAGACAATGAGTGTTTTTATATTTAAATATTTTCAGCGCACAGCGGCACACCATCCATTGTTTCGTGAAGTAACTGAAATTGATCTTCAATCCTGCAGCGATTGGCCATGGATTTCGCTACAATCACTTTTCGTTTTCATCGATATTTCACGAATAGTTCGTATAAAAATGTCTAGTCATTATTTAAATGAATACAATCAAAATTCCTTGATTGACATCAAAATGTTTATGGAACACGCATACAATCTCTGTTCACTGTCTATTCATAGCAGCTTCTACAAATACAAATCAGATCTAACTGCAGAAAATATTCATTCAATTGTTCCGAATCATGTCAAGCATTTGCAAATTCCAATAGATGATTTGGATCAAATAAATATGATTTTCAAACGATGTGAAAACTTGTCAGTAATTGAATTTGACATCGACGATACGAAATTTTGTAAGAAAGTCATCAACTGGTTTGCTATCAACACTATTAATACAACATGTCGAGAAATATATGGAATGGTGGCTATTTGGCTTGGAAAGAAAAGAATTCAACCAGCTGAAATATGTGGCGATCGCAAACGAATCAAATTTTGATTGATAAAAATTTCGGATTATAATTTTTGAAATTAAATAAATCTGAGGATTTACAGTTTCGTCTGATTTTATTTATGTCGGATTAAATTATCTTTCTTTTTCGACTTGATGTTTTAAGAAAATGAAGTCGATTCATATTAGATTCTTATACGTTATTATTGAACGTTAGAGAAGAGTTTATGCGTCGAGTAGTTCGAAAATGATTAATAAAATCATCAAATAATTATCTAAAACACTGTTGAAAATGAAAGAAAAGTTTTAAATGATTACTGATAATGTCGCAAAAGAATGACAGTTTCATGAAAAACAAAAAATGCGTATATTATTATGTACATGCAATTTCTACAGCAGAGGCGATTTTGTCTACTGACACATAGTAACTCTCTGAAAAGTTTTTATAGAAAATTCTCTATTGATAAAATTCACTTAGAGGTAAAATAAAATTTACTTCTTTAATTTTGCTTTAGTGAACAAACTAATAAGCAAACAAAAAAACAACCATAAAAGAAATATGATGTCTTGCAATCTAACCTATAGTACTCGAAGAATTCATGTCGTTCAATAGAATTTAGAAGTAATCATATCCCGACAATCAAGTCGAATCATTTTCACACTATGTTCAATTTCGCTGCTGATGCAATCGAACAATTAATGACTTGAACTTCAATTAATCTGAAAAGGAATTAAGAGGAGTGTACGTATTCAAAAACTGAAATATTACGATCCGGATAATAAAATCAAAGAAACAAAATAGTTATTTGTTGACTTGCAAAAAGATGGGTGTGGGTGCAGGATGGATGTGGGTCTTGTTGTCGGTGAACAGAAAACTAATATCCATACTCACACTCGCAAATGACTAAATTGCAAGCACTTTCTAGTTTTCCAATTTTTGAAATCATTTAACCGAGGTTAAAATCAAAAGTTCGACACTTTTCTATGCTTACAGCCAAGGCAGCTGGAAATATATATGGTCGTACGTGCTGAATCGCATAGATTATGAAATCACTAGTTAATATCGTTTTCAGAAAACATGTCGCAACCCATGATGTAGCTTGATAGTGATAAGTTTTACTAAGGCTCGTTGAGAATTATTTGGAATCTCGATCAACTGTTTCATCGAAATATGATTTATCGAATTCAAAGGAACGAAAGAAGAAAGAATGATTTATATCAAACTTGAATAAGCTACTAAGAAAAAAATTAGCACTGAATTGTAAATTCGACCATACGATTTAATCAGATATCGTTATTTTTGCGAATACTCGATCTGTGCTTTGCATCGAATTTCGTAGTCGAGTGAAACTCGAATATCATCTAGTTCAATACAAAAATCGGCAGCTATTCGAAATCTATTGTAGATTTGTTCATTATTTACAGTTGTAATCCAAATTTGATGTATATGTCTAGGAATTTTTCTCTGGGATGAATCATTAATAAGGCTTTGCCAAATATTCATATTAAGTTTTATCATAGTACTTTTATTGTCATGCTATGTAAAATGTTCCATTAGAAATAATCCAGTTTGAAGAATATGACGTAAAATAAACAGTCCTATAACTAAACAAAATGTACACTTAATATGTCGATTGTTGAAATAACTATGGTGTGTCAATGATCGAATTTTGTTATTATAAGTCTGTTGTCTATATTGTTTAACGTTTTGCATAGTCTGAAGCATGAAAAAGAAGAGACGACAATTATGAAAGTAAAAACTTTGTTTTTGTGTCTACTAGACAAAAGAAAAATCTATTTTAAAGAGATAAACTCAATTCATCTTGATAAAAATTTGTACTTGTTTTATTAACAATAGTTTATGTTTGGTTGTCTTAAATATAATGAAAAAAGTTCGTTAGCACAGCCTATTTAGGGATAAATTGTGAAGCTCACATGGTTTTTTTCCACTTGCTTATACTAGTACACAACGTGTAAACTGAAAAAACTATGGTATATTATAGTTGTTTTCCAAGATAATCGATCGATGTAGAAACAATGTCTTATTTATATCTGTATTTCAAAGAGAATTTTCTTCTTTTGCCAGCACTTCTATTTTTGTCAATTGTTGGTCTTTACTCATTATTATTATTATTATTTTGCAGTTTTTTTTTCGAATTCCTTCTTTTTTTCTTAATTTACCTGTATTATTATTCTAACGATTGATTGAACTGGCTCATAAGCCTGTTATTCGACACATATTATATTTATCACAAATATGGATAGGCTATACTTATACGTACATATCGATCAACTCAGAAAATTAACATTAATTTCTTAAAGTAACAACTTGGTCTATTCATTCTGTTTATGATAATCATATTAAGAATATGATAAATCAATGCATCATTGTCCATCATTCTTGAATCAGAAACTGCACTATTTAGAGCATTGACAAAAGTATTCTAATCATTCAAAGGACGGGGGCGCATTAGAACAGGAATCGGCCCACGAACAGATTTTCATAAGTACATTTTTCGATGCAGAATTTTACGACAAATCTTTTGATGCCAAATTCAAAACATTTTCGAAACTATTTCATGCCTTCCGACCCATGCCTATTATACCGTATTTTTACGCAGTGTAGAGCGATTATGTTTATCAAAACAAAAGATCCACTACCTTCAAATAAGCTCATTTCAAAGAGGAAAAAATTCTGCACAAAACCCTATATGAACCAACTGGAAATAATAAACAAGAGAAAAAATTTCCAAGAACATACAATGTTTTCATCAACATTTTTGGTATGTCATGGATCTTCCTACAGCGAAATCACTTAGGAAATTGCTCTACGATTGACTCTGCTCTTCAGGATCCGATGCAGTTTTTCACGAGCTGCATTCTGGTGTAATTTTTTTTCGATATTTTATTGGCCAAAAATTTTTGCAACGTAAATACTACCTAAATAAGTGATTATTTCAACTCCAAACTTTCTTTGGACTCCCAAAGTGCTTGATGAAAGACGTTACAATGAACTTTCTTCTTAAGAGTTCGGTGCAGTTTTTCACGGGCTACACGCTGATATAGTTTTTCTGTTGAAGTTTTACTGGCCAAAATTTTCCTAAAGCAAATTCTGTCAAAAATAGTATTTATTCGGCCTCCAGGCTTCTTTATCGCTTACAAGGCGCTTCTGAAACTCTTTTAGGATAGACTTTCACGTTAACTGTTTGATGCAGTTTTTCACGCGATACACTTTCGTATAGTTTTTCTATCGATACTTTNTGATTCGCTGTGTATATAACAAACTCGATTGATTGAAGGAGAAGAGTATTTGAACGCCATTCTTCATTGATCGTGTACATTTGTCGACTCTTGTCTGTTCGAAGACCTTTTTGAACAAGACGAATGGCACTCATCGGTAGTAGAGAAGCATCGCATGTTGAATTTTCACTGCATAACTTTGGAAAGTATTGTTTCATGTAACTTTGAATAACTTGAATAAGTAAAGAAGTATAAAGTTCGACGGATAGACTCAATTCGACATGTCCACTTAGTATGCTCTCATGACATTCACTACTCAACGGATTGACACGAGGAAATGGAGTGAAAAATATATCGGTTGGCTTGCGTTGATTTTGATAGAGAATTACTTCACCATCGTCATACTTAATGCGACCAATACTACTTGTTTGTACTTCTACTTGATGTATAACAATACCATCAGAAGAGTTCAACGTCGAATCTTGAGATAAAACTTGAGTTAATAGACCCATAAATATGAAAGTTAAAAGTATCATTACTTCTGATATTGATTCTCTCGGTACTATTGATTAATAAATATAATATCTTCACTTATACATTAACTGATAAACGTAAAGTGATGACAGCAGCAAAATTGTATCTATCTGTTTTCTTCATGCCGATATCTTTAATATGCATTGCCATCGTTATCTTGTGTTTTTTGTTTTTCATTAGACATAAAGTGATGAAAGTACTGTAATAACAGTAGCATACTGCCAGTTAACATTTCTCTCTCTCTCTCTATATATATATATATAGATCAAATGGAATGTGAGATTCATGAAGTTGAAAATATTGTTTTAGACAGTAAGGGTTGAGGCAGGTATAATGGTTGCGTTTTGTATATCAGTTTTCAGTTTCTCAATACGTTGTATTAAGAAAACAAATTATACCAAAAGATGCAGCGTCGAAAGCTGTACAATTTACAAAGAACAATTTATTTTTTAAAACTATAGATATAGTTCAAAATAAATCACATTTTGATAGATCTATTGAAAATGTAAACAATAACTGTTATTCTCAAAAGTCGAAGGGTTAAAAAATTTGTTTAAATTCATAAACTCAAAAATAATTAATCAAACTTGATTTCAGGTTATCGATTTGATGAATGATATATGTAAAAGATCTAAACATTTGATTATTCATTTTGGAGTAGTGCAAGTAAGTGGGTGTCGCTGTGTGAAGGCGGATGCGACTTTGGTTATGTATGAGCGCGAAGATCTAATATGTTTGTTAAGTTCAGCAAGCATTGGACTCATTTGATGAGTAGTCTCAATGGATTATTACTTATGTATTTGTGAGTAGATCCTTATACAAAAGTGTTGTTTTGGATTTAGCGGAGGAGTCGAGCGATGAAATAACTGGGTGGGCGTGGGGGTGTTAAAGAATAAAAACCATTCAACTGCACCGACATCCATACTCACATCGAAATCCATAACGAATGACAATAATTAATTAATTAATTAATATAATTTATTACGAAATTAAGTGTCAATCCGAAGTCCGAATATTTGGAAGGGATCTCAAATAATGAATCAGTTAGCTTGTCATAATTGGTCTTTAAATTTACTTCTTAGTTACTTCATGCATGTACTTTAGTCAATTACTATTTAACCAGCACTTTTACCTAATACTTTTCAAGCGCTCCTGAAAGGCTTCTGAACCACTGTTTTTCATTGTTTTTTCAAGCACTTTTGTTTTTATTGTACTTGTTCGAAGAACATTTACATCAACTGAGAAATCCTTCGAAAAAACTACTTGAATACTAGTTGAAAAAGTACTTGAGTAGTGCTGGAAAAGCAACTAGAAATAGTTTTTGAAATGTAGTGAAAGTATTCAGAGACAATTTGGAAAATTCTTGAAAAGCAGTGAGAAAAAATGTTTGAGGAGTGCTGATGCGTGTAAAAGATTGGTTGAAAAAGTGCTTCAGAAGCCCTTGAGAAGTGCTTGGACAGTGCTTGAAAAGTAATACATAAAAGTGTTAATTAAATACAGCTTGATTACGTTAATGTTGATAGTTTTGTACAATTTGCTGTGTTCATGTGAAATCTCGGAAATTTCTTGTTTTGATATAGTTGGATAGAACATCGATTACTCTATCAAACGATGTCGTCTTCGTCTTATTTCCTTAGGGTCTTGTCCAAAAATTTGATGAATTTCGAAAATCGGTCAGTAAATTTTTTTTTTTACTTAGCAATTTTTACATTATTTCTGAGGGAGTTCTTGTTATTTGACTATTATTTGTTGGGATACTCAAACCTTTTATTTTCACATAGAAAATTGACCGTTCGTTTCTCTATCGGATTGCATATTTTTCGATGAACCTATTTCATAATTCTACTATAAATTTAGTGAACTTTTAAGAAACGTTTTTGGGAATTTTTTTTCAGATATAGTTTTCGAATTTTCTCGGAGAAATTTTGATTTTTTAAACACCTAATCTTCTTTTCTTTGACATATACTTGGATAGAGCATTGATTGCTCTATCGATTTACATAACATTTGATCAAATTTTGGTCAAGTCTTACAATTGAAATTTTGCGGAAAGTAACTCGAACTCGGCTCATCACTAGAGTCCGTCGGATACAACATTTTTGGACCCGAACCCGTACCCGGACCCGCTTTGTTGAACTTTTCTTGGACCCGTAACCGGTCTTTAAAAAGTTTCAGAACCGGACCCGACGGACTCTATTCGTCACTGGTACAAAATGGGTCAAAATTTAGCAGTAAAGATCACCTTTCTCTTCAGTTTCGAATCCTTTTTCGTTTAATATTTTTTGTAGGAGGAATTGTAGTACGTCTTTTTCATTTGAAATAATTTTCATAATTATTAAGCTGACTGATGCTGAAATACGACCGCATTCAAAAGTTTCATTTCAACGTCTCTCGCACTTCATCAAATTTTTGTACAAGATATAAAATAAATAAAATAAAAGCTATATAATTTAATCGAGTAATTGATGCTCTATTGGACACTATGAAAATAAAAAATCGCTGATATTTTGCGCAAATACAGAAAAATCCACAAAAATATTAAAAATAACATACTCGAGCATTACTAGTTGATTCAAGTCGATGCATGAAATAATCCAGGAGTAAATAGGAAGACAAATTGTGCTCAGCTAATTGATCTAGTTAACCGATATACTATATAGTTTATCGTAGTTGGTGCATATCTACCCAGTATTGCACATCGTGATCTATAAAGGCGTAGACAGCATTTCATTTCTTATTTCTTTTGTATTCTAAACATTTTGTTTTTTAACATTACAAATAAATACAATATAAAAGAGTGATTCATAGACAAGAAAATGATTGATGATTATGTATATTAATGACTACGACCTTGAATAATAAAATACATACAAATCGATCATATATATTATATGACATCAGTTGTAACGTAGTCAAAACAAATGTTGATACAAAGTCATGCATACAATAATGTACTAATACAATTATTTTGGTAATATGTCAGAATCTAAAGTGTATAATAATTTTCATTCAATTGAATTCTTTTCTTTATAATTATAATTAAAAATAAAAACTATTTCATATTTTATCAAAACTAAAATCATATTTGGTTAACAATATATATTTCAGTTTACATATATATTCATTATTGTTGAAATTTAAAAATTGTTTAAAAACAAAAATAAATATAATTTAATCGATTTAGATTTATACAAACATTTCTTCCATTAGTTTATTTTTATTTGCAAGCAAGTATATAATTAATTAAATCGTCGAAAATAATTATCAAGAGCTAGAGTAGTATAATGAAAAGTTATGATATAATCATGAGAATTCACTAAAATCTATGGCATAATTATGAAAAATCATGAAATATCATTTGATAACTACGATATTAAAAAACGATAAAATCATAAAAGATTTTTCATAACTTTTCCATTTATAATTTGAAAAATGAAATTAAAGTTCATTCATGACGTGTATATTGATGAAACTTATTTTAAATTGTATAATTTGAATTTTACATAGTAACACATCATCGTCATAAACCGTGTTTAAAAATAATATAAAAAATCTGAGTCATTCACAATTACATCCTATTGTTCGCAATTTTCTTTGCGTCATTATTATTGCGAATAATTATTTGATTTTTTTTTCTCTTTTTTCTCTATCTAGCTTGTTACAAATAATAGAGAAAAGAAAAGCCAATGCAAAACCAAGACGTATAAATATACAAGAAAAATCTCGTCACTTTACATTTAAATAAGTTTGAATATTACATTATTTTTACAATTCAAACAGATTTATTATCAACAATAAATTGCATCATGGCAACAAATAAATGTTATTTTATATTATTATTGATGATTATATTCATGTTAAACAAAATCAATAGTCAAACATTATCAACTGTATCATGTAAACCTGTTTTAAATTATTATTTTAAATATTTAACTAATCCACTTCCCGGTACAAATCGTTATTTAAACATTCAAGCTACATTTATATTACAAAATAGATATGTCGCATATTATACTGGATCTCTTTATTATGTTAAAGCATCTGATATAATAAGTGGTAAAGTAACTGTATCATTTAGTGATCGAACATGGACTCCACCATGTAGTTTACTTTTTTGTCCATTTCAAAATTTTAATTATGAAAACACTGATACACAAACTATTACAATTAATAGACTCGGTGCTATTAGATATATTTTAAATAGTTGGGGTAATACAATATTTAAAGATCAATTACAATGTTATGGTATAAATGAACCACTTTATACAGCACCAACAAAACAATCAGCATCTATGTTTGTAATGACATTACAAAAAGCAGAATATACTATACCAAAATAATTATTCTATTCAAAAATCATGTACTACAACTGTGAAATCAATTTTTTTTAATAATTAATTCATTTCATTTTGCTTTCTAAAAAGTTCATATTTTTCTTTTTATGTATTATTTTATCTAATAAACTTTTAATCATAAGAAAAATACTTTCTATACAATACACAATATTTATAAAGAATACAAAAAAAAAATAACTTTTGCAGCTGTTTGTCAATAAAAATATGGTTTACATCAGTATTTTTTTTTTACATAAAATACAATCCACATCTGATTGTACAGTACCTATCAAAAGTTCTAGGACAAACTTTTATCGTTTACCATATTTTCTTAAGAGACTACAGTGAGGAAATAATAATATAATTTGAAAGATCTAGTAGTCATTTCTCATATGCTATTATAACATTATGAATGAAGGCTTCTACAGCAGCTTCTGTAAAATTCAATATTAGCCAACTGTACAAAAGTTCTGAGACAAAGCAGAAATATCCTACTGAATATTGAGCACTTTATGCAAAAAACTTGTTCGATCAAGCTGAAAATTTCAGGATTTACATTCTGTATTAAGATGATATTATTTGTAAAATCTGAAAAAAACATCATCAATATCATTCTTTCCTAAAGCCTACAATAATGACACTATTAGATATGTAATGATCAAATCAATATTTTTGTACTATCATTTTGCTTTTTTTCTTTAAAATTATTTGACATTTTAATAGTTATAGGTGAGCTTGGATCCTCTGTTTTTGAGCTATCAAATGGATGTGGGTGCTACTCTTCTCTTCGTTTCTATCACAATCACACTCTCACCTATGCCCATACCTCAGCTCTTTAGAATGTATCTAAACGAAAAATGATTCCTCGTACATCTCAGTCAATTATGAATACTTCTGCATCATGTCGTCATATGAGCGTGTTTTGCACGAGGATGTGGATGTGGAAGAGGCTGAGTGAGGATTTGTTTGTTAGTGTTATGAGTAATTGAAATGAGAACTGTCTTCAACGCCCATACCGGCGTCCGAAAAGCAACTGTTTGGCGTTTAGTATTCATTGATTTATTTTTAATTGCCATAATTGTCGCATCCTCGAAGGAACTTGTGATTCTTCGTCAAATACTAACATACAGTTCTAGTCACACCACCTGTTGGAGTCATCCTTATACTCATCGAAATCATAAGTTTATAATACCATTTAAACATTATTCTCGTTTTAATTATTAAAATCATTAAATATTCAGTATTTTAAAATTTTGTTAGCTGAGATAATGAGTTCAAGAAACCATCTGAACGAAAATGATTATGAATCACTGATATTATCTATGCAAAGAAAATAATGGAAACAAAGCATAAAGTACTGTGTTCAATTTCTGTACGAATACAGATTGATCGATAGGATTAAAAAGCCACGTAAGCGTCCATGTTAACACTGAGAGAGGGTGTGGGTGAAGAGATGATCCACATCCACTCCGACACTCACACCCACCAAAAACAGATAATTTTGATCATCAAATTTATTATTAATACAATAACAGAGTGTATAAGAGATAACAGGCACACTACACTAAAATGGATGAGACAAAAAAATTACACAAAATAGAATAATTAGTAGAAACATAGAGACAATGTTAAGCAAAAATCATGGTAATAACGCTGTCCGAAATTTGCTTTGGTCGGCCTGGATTTTTACGTTTTCTCAATGGTGTATAACGAGTTGGGTGCTCTCTTTTATTTACCAACATAGTCAAAGTACAAATTTACGTATAGATAGAAAAATTGAAATAAGGAATGTATGAATGATATTGCAACGTCAAAGAAAACAATATTTTGATAAGGAAGAACTTAATAATTAAACACTAGTAGTTAGCAACTTTATTCACAGACAATCAATCTATTAGAGTGTTTCAACAATGTCTCTTTGTATTTCAATAAATCTCAACTATGTCTACTCGAGACAAAGATCAGCTTTTACTGGCCAACAATCAGTTAAAACAATGTCGATGATTTGATTAGTCCATGCTTATGTAGTGATAGTTTGACTTATGTTCACAGAAAATGTTTGAATAGTTGGCGATAAAAAAATTTACATGGTAAAGATTTCAAGTTTTATGATATATGCAGATTCAAATTCGTCATCGAAAACGTTTTATGTGATCCCAAAACTGAAAGAAAAAGGCTCCTGAAATATATTTTCTTTGTTATATGAGACTCAAGAGCAATTATTTTATTTGTTCAATCTGTTATTATTGGTTTAGTCGATGTGATAAAAATTAAGTTCGAAACTGATAAGAACATTAAACATCAATATCCAGCTTCAGTTACTTCGTTTGTGCCTTATTACTTGGACGCTTTATTTATATTAATCTTCATTTTCTTCATAGAAATAGGACGGATAATTTCGAAGCAATTATCATCTGCATTGTTTTATTAGTCTATGTTGTAATTGGTGTGTTTGTTGGGATATACCAAAGTGCGATTATTCTCAATAAAATAATGAAAAGTCATGCAAATAGAATATGGTTACGACAAGATGCTGAAATATCTATTATTAAAGATTTTCACGGACGGAGAGAAGAATTGAAAAAATATTCAAGACCCTCTTAAATAAAACTAAACAACAATAAAAAGACCTTTTTTTGTATTTTTTTTTCTCTTTTACTAAGCTAATGATTGATAATAGATTAGTTCACAAAATAAGAAATAGGAAAAATATTTTGTTCTGTAACAATCCGATAAAAAAGTTAACTTTTGCCTCGAAAGTTTTAAATGCCTGAAAATTTTATGATACATCCCTCGACTGGGTAGTAACCGAGCAACTCAAAAAGAAGAACATATTCTATATTTTCTTTTCGTGTAATTAAAAAAATCTGTAGTAGATCATGGATTCAGAAATTGTGATCTTACTAAAACGGAAGATATATTTAGTATGCCAGAACGATAACTCATATTCGACTTACATTATCACTAAGAGGTTATTTTTTGAAATCAATCAAAATTTGAAATGTGTTTCGTGTTTGATGATAGTCAAATAAATAGGTTTGTCATGTATTCAGATTTGCTTCAATTCATTATTTAAGAATGAGCGATTATAGATGAAAAAGAGATTCACATTCTCACCTTCGATTGTAAATATCAACTGAAACAAATGATGAACACTTAGTGTTCATTTTTGCTTAGTCAATATGTTCGATAAGATCTATTTTTGTACAGCAGCGCTTTAGCCATTACAAGAATTTATAGGCGACTGTATGAATATATAATATCATTTTAATTTCAATAAGAAATAAATACATATACAACGAAGAAACAAAAAGTAAAATCTCGAAAGAAAAAGCATATGTATTACAAAATCACTATATACTTGTTTCATTAAATGTTATTTCACCTTTGTTGGATTCATCGTTGAACGATGTTTGCAGTGTCACAACTGCGCCCAGCGTTAATTTGTATATATATATATATATATATATATATATTTATGTTGTTTAAAAATAGAATATAAGTTTATCTTCACCTGTATTAATAATGATACATTGTAGATGAAAAAAGATTATGCAAGTTATCTCAAAGCATTTTGATACGTTATGCATGAATGACCGAATTAATGTGCTTTTAGAGTTGTTTTTTCATGTCCCGAATAGAAAGATGATTTCTTTTTCAATCTTATTCTGTAAGAAATAACAGCTAATTCATATAAAAAAAAAAGTAAGATTGCTGAAAAACAAAAGAAGGTTCATTTCATTTCCATAGTCTAAGCACATAAAAGAATTTTCGATCGTCGAGAAAAATCGTTCAATTATAGTAGAATTAAATATCTCGAAGTAGAGAGAAGGAAAAATCTATGATGAAATAGTATTGTTGAATGTAGCTACACCTTGAACAACATTTGAAAAATATTTGTACTGATCGTTTGCAATAAGACTTCATCACAAATAAATCGTGAACCATAATTTTTCAATAGAACCCTTCCATGTTTCCATTTTTTCACACAAAACTATCTTAAGAATGGAATGTGAGTGTTAATAGCAGAAAAGACATTCACATCCACATATATACATATTTAGTTTGATGATTAGATTACATACTATACTAATAGCAGAAGATCATAAGGAAATAAATAATCAATTACAAAATAGTTTCCTAGTATAGTCTATATAAAACTATTTCTTTATTGGACGATACATATGTTATGATGTGATGTTGATAAACATATACAGATTTTCTATGGACGAACATCTCCATTCTAATAGTGATAGTTAACTGAAGTATGTAATCCATTCAATAATCTTTAAATCAATTTATTTTCTTATCTTTTTGAAAACTTTTTTTTTCAACAAATCATCTTTGTCTTTCCTCAGTGAAAACATAATTGTCCAATACTCAGGAAGTATTTTGCAGTTTATGGCCCAAAATTTCATGATTTAATATTGTATGATGAAGGGAGAATTCTTAAAAGCGTTACCATTACTTCATTTCTCTATTTTCTTAGAAAGATTAGTCTGAAATTCATTAATAAGTACATCAACATTCATATCTACAAATCGATCTTTAGATAGTAAAATTAAATTCAGTTCTCTGCAAAAAAGATCTTTCTTAAGTGATTTCAACTAGTTTTTGAGAAGGTAAAAAAAAACCCTTTTGGATACTCATGAGAATACGAATGTGAGTGATCAATCATACTCACATCCACACCCTTGTAGATTGATGTTAATCATTTATAATTTTCTATTGAGTGGAAATAGCTCTTTGCTTTGATTTGCTTACTGCGTGAAATTATGTGATAGAGAAAAGAACGTGCTTTTGTTCTACTTTTTTTCCTATGTACTATGACGTTACGTTTTATTAGAAAAAAAACGATGCAAATGCCTTTCTTTTTCTGACTGATTATATGTTGTCAGATGACAAAAAATTCTTATCTTGCTAAAACAGAGGTTACACATAAGCATTCATCGATACTTCGACTTACCTAGTTATTTTCTTTTTTCATCATAATACAAACACATCTCACTCTTATATTCACATAGCTATTCGTTACATTGTTGATCGTTAAAAATCATGTCATCGACAAAAACATGGGAAGAAAAAGCAATTTGAAAGTGTTCATCACTTTTTAACTTAATTCCAAAAGAATGGAGATTTTCAGAATCGATTTTGAAATCAATTCAAAAAGATTGTACTGTAATATCTTCACAATGCGAAATATTATCTGAACTCGATTTGAAAATAACAGAAATTGATGATATTGATAAACTTGCTGGTTATATTGCCAATGGTAAATATTCAGCGGTGCAAGTCACGGAAGCTTACTGCAAACGTGCAGTAATTGCTCATCAACTCGCCAATTGTCTGACATAAATACTTTTTAAACAGGTACTCGAGCGAGCGAGAATGCTTGATGAATATTTTAGATCTACAGGAGGAAAAACAGTGAGACAGCTTCATGGTATTCCTATTAGTTTCAAAGATCAATTTCACATTAAAGGAGTTGAAACTGCAATGGGCTATGGTAGTTATTTAGAAGAAATTTTAGAATATAACTCGATACTCGTTGATTGCGTATTTCCTCTTCGAGGTGTGGTTTATGTCAAGACAATCGAACCTCAGACTCTTATGCTTGTTGAAACCCGTAGTAACTTACTTGGTGTAACTGTAAATCCACGAAATCGAGAATTGAGTTGTGGTGGCAGATCAGGTGGAGAAGGAAGTCTTGTTACATTAAAAGGAAGTATTTGTGGTTTTTGAACTGAACTTGGTGGAAGCATTCGATTTCTTGCAGCTGTGAACGATATCTATGGTTTGCCACCCTATGATGGATGTATTTCTTATGGATTAGCAAGAAATTCACTTGATGGACAATAATCAGTTCCAAGTGTCGCAGGTCCTATAACAAGATCTCTGGGAAATATTCGAACGATTTTCAAAGCCATCGCGAAAACAAAACCATCGCTAGTTGATTCCAAAGTTCACAATATTCCGTGAAGAGAAGATGTATTTCAAGAAGATCAAATAGGCAAATTATGCTTTGGCGTAATTTGATTTGATGAGCATGTTCATATTTCTTCACCTGTTCTAGGAGCGATTAATGTAGCTGTTGCAGCATTGCGAAAAGCCGACCACGACATTGTGGAGAGGATAAATCGGATCATTTAGAGATTAATAACGAATTCAATGTTTTTTAGAATAAGATCATAAATAGATCTTGAGATTTATACTGACGGTGCAAGGCTAACCAGTTTTATTCGACAGACTATAACAAGCATGTTCCCATATCGTTTTACATTTCCCTATCCGTTCTTTAGAGTTTGCTGTTAATGTTAGCTTTCCATCTGCTGCATGTTCCTTGATTTTTGCTTGCATCCAGTATGCCAAATGAATCTTCGAATCACGAGTGGATATAAAAAGTAGAACTTAAAATTGGATTAGAATTTCTTAATCAAATTCAATCCCATCTATTCACTTTTTTAGGGCATCAAATTATTGTGGAAAATGTATCTAGCCGATGGTGGAAAAGACGTACAGGTTGCTCTTGATCTAAGTGGCGAACCAAAACAACCAGATGTTTATATTAGATCAAAAGAAATTGAATTGAGAGTTTATGAAAATTGGCAACTCAACTTAGCTCGTATTGCCTATGCAACGAGATATCTTGAAAAATGTAATAAGACGTGTCAAAGAGCTTCCACAGGTCATTTAGTCGATGGAATCATTTCAGCTGTTTTGGCACTGCCTACCTAGCCAAATGGGTTTAGGAATAGCACTGGGTATACTTGTCTTGCAAATTTTCTTCAATTGAGTTCAATAGTTCTTCCGGTTACTCGCGTCGACTTTGAGTTGGATCAAATTACTGATGAATATCGTAGTATTGAGATTGCGAGTGAATATGATCAAGCAGCAAAAGATGCATACAAAGAACCAAAAGCGTCTGAGAATATTATTGCCGGATTGCTGGAAGTTTGTAGACGATGGGAAGACGAAAAGTCATAGGTTTGACGATGGTATTAGAACAAGCACTTCAATCCAGTCAACTAGACAATTGAAAAATCGATCATGAAATTGTTTTCAATGCGAAGAATAAATATCAGTAGAACAGATAGAAGGTGTTTTTTTGTTTCTTGTAAAGTATAGTCGAAATAGTCAGACAATGATTTGTCTTTTTGAAGCTAAGAAAATAAAAATCACCATCTCCATAAAATAGTATCTGTTATCAGAATTTTTATGTGGAATTGTTGGTAACTTATCAAAAAAAAAAATGAATATTATTTGCCAATGATGCAGACAAATAGGCTTTCCTTATTAGTTTAAAAATTCAAATTATGCATAACTATTTAAGGTGAGTTTATCTTGTTTAGCAATCTTTACTTATGATTTAGAGTATTGTAGGTGAAGACATTATAAGTGAGACGTAGCATTACAGTAGAAATTTAATATTTTTCAGATGAATAATAGAAACCAAATTTAGGGTATTTTATTTTCGTCTAAAAAAAAGCACAGGACAAAATTTAGCTACGGTTACATAAGAAGAATAATTACAATAATTATTGCCATCAGTTACGATTCTTAATCAAGATACATTCATGACTTGTGAAGTTATTAACTTTAGACATTATCTTTATTTATGAGTACAGATAATGTATCGACTTCTAAAATGTATGCTGTATTAAGAGGGCATGAGTCTTCGTTTCAGTCAACACCGCACCACACCCTTCTATCCAGAAACATGAATAAGAATATTTGCATCAAGGTAATATTCAGTGTTAGAGATAGAATTTGAGACTAGGAAACTTAGCCACACCCTCCCTTCTCCATACTCAGGCGAGACTTTTAAAAAATGTGTTTTTATCTGATACAAAACTATATTAACGGGCATGTGGAAAGTTTTTAGATAAGACACTTGTTCAATTTTGCCCCGCTTGAAAGTATTTATCTAAAGTTAAAACCTAAGAATTAAGACCACAATTTCGTTGAAACAACCTTTGAAAAATCAAAAAAATTAGTTTAGACAGAAAATGTTGTATTTTTACTATTAGGATTCCAAACTAATTGTTAAGACCTTTTACTTACATATCAGCTAGCAAATATGACGCTAACTTTATAAATGCTTTTTCTCAGGTCCTTTGGAAAGACACTAGAATTTTCGTTTTCCATGAATACTCCTTTTCGAAAACAATAGACTTTTTGATCAAAAACAGTTTTATTTAGAAAGGAGTTCTTGAAAAAATATTTGCATCCTCATTTGAATAAAATTTATAACTTTGCTCAATATCACATTTTGTAGAGAAATATTTGCACTTCAAAGAGATAGACTCTGATAATTTCTACCATATTTGAAAAAGTCTTATAGGGTTAACAAATATCTGTTGGCTACTTATTAAAACTAACTTTTCAGATCATTTACAAAAATTCCGTCATTATACTTGAGCAAATATGCGCACAACATTTTAATCCTAATTCATAGTTATTGATTCGTCAGCACTAATTTCTCGAGTGTTAAAAGTGAACAAACATTGCATTTAAGAATTTTTCAATCAACCGATCAGTCTTGGCTGTGAAATATTACAATTTACACAATCTGATTGAAACTGATATTTTGTTTATTTTATTTTCTTTGAAAACACCTGTACTAAAACATTTCACTGCAATGACTAATAAACTGCTATATCAGAAAGAAATACAACTTTCAAGAATTTCACCAGTGGACTCAGCCCCTGATTCTAGCTTGATATATAAACAAAACTACGAAACTTACGATTCACATACATGTTACACAGCTGTGCTCAATACCAACGTGCGACATATCGAACAAAATGTGAAACAGTCACGCAGTGCTTTGAATCTATCATTTCAAACAACGCTCATTTATTGTGCATACGGTCAAAACAAATACGCATAATAAATGATATCCTAATCCGGCGAAATCCTTGGTACTAAAATTATACTCCCCATCACCTTCATCCAAAGCACCATGTGTGAAGTTTGAAATCACTATGTCTTTTAACACATTCACAGCGTAGTAAAATTACATTAGAGCTCTTTTTATCATATGCATTTTGCATTTTGTACCTTCAAGATAAATTTAGTTTGAATTTCGTCATAATTGCAATACCAAGTTATTGCAATGTCTTTCGCAACATTATGCAGGAACGTTAGCGAGGTTTTTTTTTCTTCTTTTCTTTCATTCTATGCATTGACATATGACACATTATTGAATATTCGTATTCGACGCATTTATATAGTCGTGACGTTTAGCTGGAAAAAAAACACTTTACACTCGTACATTAGACGAAACACGACTCATGCCTGCTAAGAAGAAATCTTTTCTTGCAACATTACCTGTTGAGCTTGTTCATCGAATTTTCGATCATCTCAAAACGGAGACAATTCTTTTCTCAATTCGGTACGTATGTAAACGATTCTATTCTATTACTAATACCTACAATGGCTTTGATCTTGACTTCCGTTATATGTCAAGATCTGATCTACCTTTCATAGCACGTATTATTGATCCGAAAAATGTCATTTCACTTACGCTTTCAGATGAAATACAAACACCAGGCCAAATTCGATCATTTCTTAATCATTTTCATATTGAAAGGTTCATTCGATTACGTTCATTGAATCTTGTTAAAGTTGAATGCAAAGAATTAGATACATTTCAAAAACATATCAGCAAATGTCGCCTTACAACACTCTCAATTGCACCTAATGTGTATTATAAAGACGGTCCAACAGCACTCATATCATCTATTATATCAAACAATGATCTTCGTAAATTTGAATACACGGGATTTTGTAATATTTTCAATAAAATACAATTGCCCATTCAATGTGGACTGGAGCACTTAACAATTAGTCATTCCAATTGGGATTCAGTTTATTCTATTATTTTTCACTTACCTTATCTACAAACACTTGTAGTAAAAAATGTTATTTGGAATCAATTCAATTCAATTACTTTTACATATCCTGATATTCCACAGTCAAGTCATTTAACTTCGCTTTCATTAAACTTCAATTATGACATGCCAATAAACGATGTTGAATCAGTTCTTTCATTTTTACCAATGCTAATGCATCTTCGACTGATTAGCGAGAGACCTTTAGATGATCTTCAATTGTTTAACGGTTTCCGATGGGAGAATTTCATACAGACGAAATTACCTCTATTGAACAGGTTCGAATTTTGGTTCACTTGCCTTGTGCCCACTGATTCAAATTGTACTACTGTAGAATCACTGATTGCATCATTTCAAACATCATTCTGGCTCGAAATCAAACAGTGGATTATTAAATGTGACTATGAATACAAGAAATATCATTCGAAGTTTCATCTCTATTCGATACCAATCGTTCGAGATAACTTTGATTATTATGAACAAGAAACTACAATTCTTCATTCCGCGTTGAACACCACTGACAACGATGCAACCATCATTGTCAATGCACGTCAATTGTCCTTGAACTTAAGCCAAATGATGACTAATAGCATTTCACACTTAGTAAGTGATATTTTATATTTTTAAATCAGTTACTTATTCTCGAACAAAATACATCTTCTGACAGAAATTCAATAGATAATTATTTGAGTCTAATAAAGATGTAATTATGGAGTTTGAAAAATGATAATTATATACTTACATCTACACCCTTCTAAATAAACACAAAGATTTTTTGCTTGTAAAATAAAAATTCTCAAAATCAATATTGGCCTCTTTCATTTAGATATAAAATTTTTTGAATATTTAAGATGATTTATATATCATAGTACAATTTTCTACAACCTTATTCATTTTTGTTTAGAGACTGATCGAACAATAATTTATCAATTTCCAAATGTGACCGAACTTACACTGGTGATTCATGAAAAATGGTTTGCTGGCTCAATTGAACATCTGAGTACAATTATTAATATGTCGGTTCTTCAAACATTATGGTTGAATTTTCAGTGTGAATGTACGTTCACTGTGACTTTGTACAACGAAATCAATACTCTACTGAAACAAGCATTGAATCTTCGTTCACTTCGAATAAGCTGCAACAAATCTGAAAGAATGAAACTGATAACTCTTAATGCTATTTGTTTAAATTTACCTCATCATATTAAACGTCTTGACACTGATATTACGTATCTGGACGACGCAAAAATTATATTGGAGCGAGCTGAATTCTTACCAATTGTTACATTTCGAATAAGTAAACCATGGCGTTTCGCTCATGAAATAGATATATGGCTCTGGCAAATGAAAAGAAATGTTGCGTATCAAGTAGAGTCAATCCCATTCAGGCATTACGACAACTGTGATCCGGTCAATGCCGTATACTTGTGGCTTGACACGGCCGTGAATAAACAGTCAAATATATCATTTAGCCACAAACGTGTCAAGCGAACCCATTACTCATGATTCGTTAATTTTATTGATTTCGACCGGCTGGATTTGAAACATTCATTGAATTGTTAAAAGAAAGCTTTTCAAACAATAAAGCTTCACAAAAAAAGTCAACATATTTGTAATTTAAGTCATTTTTTTAAAAAAAGATCTCGCATGAAAAATAATGTGGGCCTGTCTGTTGTGATTGGTGTAAATCTTCTCTTCGCGCATATCAGAGTCCTACGTCGGGTTAAACTCCAAAATTTTCTATCAAGATTGTGCTATGTTTCGAGTGGTGTATTCTATAGAAGTGTCTTGCACCTGCTGAATAACGTGTTTTGATGATAAATGTATTTTATTAATACAGTTTCACCATGTTTGAAAGAAGGGTTTCATCTTTATGCAAAGTTTTTAATTACAGTTGACTACAACTCGGTGCAAGATTCTAGAAAACAATCGTTTCTTTTAAGTAGTTTCCTAAAGTATTCAATCTTAAATGATTTAATGCATTTGATTATACAAACGGAAAAAATAACTGAGACAGGAACGTTTTCGGTTAAATTTATTCTTCTACCAATGATTTCTGTAATGATATTAAAAGATTTTGAAATGTCATCTGAAATTGAGACAACTATTTGATCAAGATAGTAATCATCATATGTTATCGAAATTCTTTCTTGAATGAGTTGATTATATCAAAATGAACCATTTACTACGACAATTATCAATTTATTTCTACTGAAAATATAAATACACAAGTATCTTATTCCTCAACTCTTACTTTTGCAATATAAATAATTAGATATCCTTTTGTTTCATGCAGTTCTTAATCAAAATACTACTGATTCCATGGTTAATTGTTTCCCTATTCAACTTGATTGGTTATTAAGTAGTTAAGCCAATGGATTATCTTGTTGACCGACACAATGTATTTTTGTTAACCATGTTTTTTAAAATATTGAAGAATCCAAGGCTTGATATTCGAGTTGATCAGATTTAGGTTTAGAAATTTTTGGACCCGATGAGCTCTACTCGAAATGAGCAATTGATAGGTTTTAATGGCCGAAACCAAGACACATCAGATTATATATTCTCAGTCAGCAATTTATTATCGGAAAATACCTAACTCTATTCTATCTAATTTGAATGATCCGTAGTAGATAATAGGATGTAGATGTGAGTGTGGATGTCGGTAGTTTTGCGTTCATGTGCGTTGATATTCTCTTTGCACTCGCATCTACATCCTCAAGTGGAGGGGGGTGGGTAGGGTAAAATATAAAGAAAAAAGTGATACCTATTTATATCATCGGCGATCAAAGAGTTAATCTCGATACGACATATACATAATCACTGGATATCGTCTTTTCTTTTAACTTAAGGACATTTTGTTTAGATTCTTTTTTTTCTTGTTAGCTCAAGGACATTGTTATGATTCGTTCTTCCTAACCAACAGGTCACGTCAGATTTTTTTCTTTCTTCATCTCATTGTTTAAGCTATATATTGTTCTAAATAAAAACACCATTCGTTCGTTTGTTTGGAAAGTATAAGTTGTGTAACTAAATAAAGAAAACTTTAAAACGAGTCCTGGAAAATTTCCGGTCGCCGCCGCCATCTCCGATCAACTCATCGACGTACAACTTCTACTTGTGTTACCGGTAAAAATGCCTTTGTGTGATAAAAGCGTACAATTATTCGTATCATTGTGTGCAAAATGCGTTAAAAAATTTTCAAAATAGAATATTACTGTCGCTTCAATGTCAACAAATACTACAATTTCATCGATTGAAACATTACCAGTATAAATACTTCATTACATTTTTGATAATCTTGATGCACACACAATCTTATAGTTAATTCGACCAGCATCGAGATTATTTCGATTAGTTGTTAAAACTTATAATCGATATGTTTTGGATTTGAATTTAATTTCAAAATCAAGTTTTTATCTTTTTTGTCGATTATTTCATCCTAAAAATATTATTTCGTTAATACTGTCGAATAATGAACGAATATCAGGTCAAATAGATTCGTTTATATCACTTGTTCATCTTCAACAATTGACTCGACTTCGCTCACTGACTCTTCTTGATATTGACGAATCGAAATTAAACTTCATTTTGAAAAGAATCAATCTTAATTTGCTCAATTCATTCTCTCTCAATATTAGAAAAAAACAATGATAGATTCATAGAAACAACTACAGCTCTTCTATCATCAACTATCGTACAAACAATTCTTCGAAAATTAGAATTCTTTATGTTTAATACAATGCCAAATATTTCATGGTCAATCAATTGTATAACCGAGTATTTGACTACAAACGATCGCATAGATATAGATGATCTTTGTACATACTTCAATGTTCTCTTCATTTGCATAGACTCATTATTAGTGAAATTCCAAAAGGAGTGATCCATAATTTAACTTCACTATGCTTTCGACAGCTAACATCGTTAACTATCAACAATCTTTCTGTAACCATTGATGAACTTGAATTATTTCTTTTATTAACGCCATCATTTTTTTATTTAAAATTGATTGGCGTAGGGCAAGTGTTGGATGGTAAACGATGTGAACAATTTATTGAAATAAATTTACCTGAGATGGACAAATTTGAATTTTATTTCGATGAATGGAGATCAACTCATCAAACTGCTACGGATCTCGAGTCAATTATTGCTTTGTTTCAAACATTGTTTTGGATTGAACACAAAAAATGGTTTGTTGCTTGTGAATGCAAACATACTATGCTGCGACCAAATATTATTTCTATCTATTCAATACCAATATGCAAATCTTCTATTGAGTACACGTCAAAATTAGCAAAAACATTGTTGTTCACGTATCCTACAATGATGAACAGTTATTTATTAATTATTGATAACATAAAATCATTAGCCCCCATCGCCGGGCGGTAGTTTTGAAAAATGTGTTTCTATCTGATATAAAATTGTATTGATGGATGAGCGAAAAGTTTTTAGATAAGATGCTTGCTCGTTTTTGCTCCGCTAGAAATCATTTCCCACCAGTTAAAATCTACGAGGTAGAAATAAAACTTTTGTTTTCTTTTCGAATATGGGTCTAGAAATTTTGTCACAGTTTTTGTTCGATACTGGTGAAATAATTCTGGAGAATTCCAGAAAATTAGATTCCATAGCAAGCTTTTCCGACATTTTCGTAGTTTTCCTACTGTGACTTAGAAATAAATGTTAGGATCTTTTATTTATATATCAGCTTGCTAATCAGAAGCTACCTCAATAAAAGAGATTTGTTGATCAAAACCGTTTTACGTAGAAAGAAGTTCTTGAAAAAATGCTTGCAACCTCACTTGAATAAAAACTATAGATTTATTTAATTTCACATATTGTACAGAAAAATTTACTCTCCAAAATGAACGATTCCGACAATTCGTAACATGTTAGAAAAGAAACATATAGAGTGAACAAATATCTGTTGACTCATCATTGCGTCTATGAACTTTCCGATCATCGATTAGTCTTTGTGACGAAAACCTTCGGCATACAGAATCTAATTGAAACTGGTGCTCCAAAAAACAACATGTATTTAAAAGTTTCATTGGAAGGACTAATACATTGTTGCATCAAAAAAAAAATTCAACTTTCAAGATTTTCACTAGTAGGGTCTAAATATTCATGGAGGGGGCTCAGCCCCTCCTAGCCTCCCCTTGGCTCCGTCACTGACTAGGAATGTTATATTGTATATGAAAAACAGACAATAAGTGTTTTTATATTTGAATATTTTTTGTGTACCACAACACACCATCCATTGTTTCGTAAAGTGACTGAAATTAATCTTAAATTCTGTCATGACTGGCCTTCGATTTCGCTACAATTACTCTTCATTTTGATCGATATTTCACGAATAGTTCATATAAAAATGTCTAACAATTATTTAAATGAATACAATCAAAATTTGTTGATGAACATTAGAATCTTTCTGGAACGAGCACATAATCTCTTTTCACTGTGTAGTCATAGAAATTTCTACAGACACAACAAATCATGTCTAATTGTAGAAAATATTCATTCAATTCTTCCGTATCATGTCAAATATTTGTAAATTTCAATAGATGATTTGGATCAAATAAATATTATTATTAAACAATGTGACAGCCTATCAATAATTAATTTTG